GCGGTGCACAGGACCAGGCACCGTGGGCCCCACGTTGCCCATTGTCACACAGGAGCCTTGAAACAAGAGAGAGAAAATTAGTGCATTGGTTGCCAGTTATGTGTTCAATTATTTTACAGATAAAGGGAAGTAAAGAGATGGCATGGTAATTGAACAAGCAGATATAACTGAGGCATGGTTTTGAAGACAGGAGGGGAGGGGAGGGGGGAGGAGTTGCCTTTGCTTTGATAATTGGGAAGCTAAAACAGCAATGGAGCATGAAGATCCAGCCCCCCGAGCTCCACTGCAGGTTCTGATGGCTGAGTTTCTGCAAACTCCATTACTCCCTCCGCCTGGCTTCAATCTGTCTGTACAGGTTTCTTCTGCTGGACAATAGAAACCTGCCTACCCTTAATCGGTCCCCTTTCAAAGGGCCTCAAGCCTGAAATAAGCCGCGTCTCTTTAATTATTTATTGGGACAGCTGAACCAGCAGCTGGGTCCCATACTCCTGCCTTCAGCCAGGCCGTGGTTTTAATTCCTTTAAAGCAGGTGAGGCAGGAACAAGAATGCTTGATTCTGCCCTGTTTCTTGAGGTCTGGAGGCAAGAGGCTGTGAAAATGGGAGTGGGCAAAACTCAGCCTTGTCTCTAGCCGGGCATTTATCTAGCAGGACTGAGTGCTGCAGCCATGGCTGAGTGAGAGAGCTTGAAATACAGGAGCTGCTCGTAATGAGATGCTGCCACCAGGGGATAAATCACAGGCATTATTTAATTATTTAACAGAAGCCACTGCTGGGGATGCTGCTGTTAATTGGAAGGGAGTGTGGCAGCCCCCAGAAACCAGACCCGGCCCTGCTGGGGCACAGCCTCTCTCTTTGTTCCATGCCTGAGCAGCTCCCGGCACAGTGGGGTCCTGGCCCATGGCAGTTTCTCCCAGGCTCTGCTGTAATACACATGATTGTTTTGTCCCACTCAGCTTGAATCCAGGGCACTGCCCTGATGCTGATTCTGGCCTGTTACTTCATGAGGGCACCCAGTTGCTTGGGCCCTGTTATCTTGCCCCGTATACCTGCAGGCAGAGGCCTTGGGGTTTGTTCTCTCCTATAAGATCATATGGAAGCAGGGCTGGAAAGAACTCATAAGATTACCTAGTCCAGCCCCCTGCTCCAGGCAGGATCACCTCTAACTAAACCGTCTCAGCCAAGTGTCTGTCCTTGCTGATCTCCCACTGTCCCAGCCCTCTGCTTCTGACCTGTTCAGCAGCCTGGGCATGAGGCTTTCAGAATCCTGATGCGTGACTCCCAGCTGTGCTCACACTTGGTTTCCTACCATCCCTCCAGAGCGGGTGTCCAGGGAGAAAGCCATGGCTATTGTGAGAGACCTGCCTGCAGAGGAGGGAGAGGTGGGGGCTGGCTTGCTACTGGTTCAAAGGCAGAACAGCGATGCCTGGCCCATCTCTCCTCCCCCTCCCCTCCAGTGGCACTTCAAGGGCTAGAAACTTGCTGGGCTCTGCTGTTTCCTCGTCCTCCCCCGACAGGCAGTATGAAGAATTGAACCACAGCCCAGGAGACCAGCAGGCTTCACACGGTCGATGCCTCCAGCAAAGTCAAACCAGCCCCTGCCTTGTCTGTCCTCTTTGTCCCCTTGAAGGAGGAATCCCCTCTTGAGACAGTGATGCCTCCGTTGGCCAGGGCCCAGCCAGCTGCTATAGCAACTGATACATCTCCAGCTGCTCTGATGGGGACCCAGAGAATCCCTAACCATGGGATTGGCAGGTGGAAGGGTTTCAAGTACTTGTTGGCAGAGTCTGCTAGTACTGCCTTGTGTTGGGAGTAAGTACGTATTGGACAACAATACTGCTGCTGTGCTGCTTCTCTGCATCAGTACTGAGGCTGGGTGGCTGTTTGCAGAGGGCCTCTGCTCCCCAGCTCTGTGGGCACAGGAGGCATTTGCCTGCTCTGAGCACCACCCTAAAGCCACTCTTGCTTGCTGCATAGGGCAATGCAGCTTTGAACCAGACTCCATATTGCTGCCATCACTCTCCTCTGCCCACCAAATGGCCATTGCTAAGACCCGTCCTCTCCCTTTGCTCCAGCTAGGTCAGCCCCTCCTTCAGTCCTCTCCCTGGCTGCTTCTTTCATTTCTTGTCACTTCCAGCTCTTCTCTTCTCCCAGTGCCTGCATGGCACTGCCTGTCTTGCTCCTCACAACTCCAATTGTTTTCCTTTGCACTCAGCTTCTTACCTTTTTTCCTGCCTCTCTCCAGTTTGGAGTGCTTCCCCTTCCTGAGCCTACTCCTTTTAAGAACCCTCCTTTGGTTGACCCAGTCTGTAAGTTCTAGGCAGGGACCAGTGCTTGGACCTGGGTGGTTGAGAGGTGCCAGGTGCACTGACATCCTGAGGTCAGAGGGGTTCAGAACCTTGGGAAACTAGGTTGTAGCACCCCGTGAGCCACAACTCTTGGGACTTTAACAGGGGAAAGGACTTGGGTGAAGTCACAGCAGGTCAGTGATGGTCAGGATGCTCTATGACCAACATACTGTCTCTTGTAACCTGCACTCAAACAGTGAGGGCACTGTCTCCTCCAGCTGCCTTTCTATTCTCCCATCTCATTCAATTAGAGACTGGGAGCTTGCTTTTTTTTGTCTTGGATTCTGGAGCACTGTTCTGCAGCAATTGCAGAGTCTGCAGTGATGCAGCAGTTAGTGGTGCCCCAGGATTGCAGTGTACAAGGGACCTTCTATTTGGGTCCTTAGGAGAATTGTCTCTGCTTGTTCAAGCAGCTATAAGAGAGAGGCTGTCTGGGCCAGCTGGAGAACTCAGATCAGTACAGGATTGGCTGCTGGCTTCTGATATGAAGCAAGGATGGGGCTGGCCACTGTGAACCTTAGAGAGGCCACATGAGCCCTTTCTGACCCTTGGAACACCAGTGTCAGGCTCTGCAGCTCGGTAGTAGGAGTATGGTGGTGCCTACCATAGAAGTGTTGGTTTCACAGTAGTGGCTTCACAGGGAATGATTTATGCTTGCTTATGCAAGTGACTTTCTCTCCTTGTCTGATTGTGTCTTGTCATTTGTTCTGTCTCTGCAGCCTGTTAAGAAGCTGGTGGATCTCCTGAACACTCTTGACAGATGGATTGATGAGACCCCACCCGTGGATCAGCCCTCTCGCTTTGGGAACAAGGCCTTCAGGACCTGGTATGCGAAGCTGGACCAGGTATGTTGGGGGTGTGGGGAAGAGTCTTAAATGGAAGACTTAAATGAATGATCTCCATGGCCCAGAGCAGGGTAGCCACTAACCATAGAAAGGCTGTCATACTCTTGTGATGCCTAAACAGCTCCACCAGGGGAGCACAGCTCCCATTTATGTGTCTCCGGCAGGTCTTCATACCCGCAATAGAATCCGAAAGAGCCTGAGAGATTCCTTCGCTCCCTAATTATCCATTGTGTCCACCAGCCTGTACGTCTGGTGGATCAGAGCAGGATTGTGACTCACCACAGCAAAGCTTTGCCTGTCTCAGCTGAGTGCTTGCCCCACATAGCTCCTTGGGGCTGGCAGAAGCAGAGTGCGCTGTACTAAGCTGTTGAATTGTTCTGGGCTGGCAGATGCATGGATGCAGTTTGTTAAAGTTCCAGTTAAATGCAACTGAAAGTTGCTGGACTGATCGCCCTGGAGATTTAAGTCTTCCCTCTCTTGAACAGATACAGTCCAGGTGGCAACAGGGCATGCTTCTCCTTAATGTGCCACCATTTACTGTTGGAGAGGTCACCCCTGAGGACAACAGGGGAATTAATTCCTCAAGTCACGCAAGCTTTGGTCTCGCTGCTCATACCAGCAATGGGGCCAGTTGCACTGATGGCATGTTGGGATGGATGCCCTAAATGGTAGTTATTTCTACAGTGGGCAGGGGAAGAGCCTTCTCTCTCATACCACATCTCTGCCACCCCTACCAGCTCACTAGTTTGGTGAGATTTAACACTGCTTCTTATACCACCCAATAGAGGTTGTTTCTGAGAGATGTTAGGATTCCCCATTTGTTTCTCCTCTCCATACTTCCATCTCACAAGCTTGGAGGGGGCTTTTGCTCTCTGGAAGTCCACTGTAAATCACTAGTGAGTGCTAGTTTCACTTGCAGTGGTGTGCAGTATCCAAGGTTGGGCTTATGGCGAATCAGAGCTAATCCTTGGGGACCCTTTTTTTTTCAGGAAGCAGAAAATTTGGTTGCAGAAGTGATCCCCAAGCACCTGGTTGAGGCTGCACCAGAGGTTGCTGTGTACTTGAAGGAATCTGTGGGGAACTCCACCCGCATTGACTATGGGACAGGTACCATTGCGTGAACATTTAATGCTGCTAGTCTTGTTGAGTTCTTCTCGACTTCTAAGGCATAACTTAGTCTCGCAATTCAGGGATGCCATTCCCATTGCAACGAATGGTACCTGCAGGGGATTATACCAAGGTGAAAGTTGACCTAGAGAGTAGATCATATTTGCGTTGTGCTGGAACTGTGATTGCTCTGAGGTCTTGGCCTGTCTATTTTAAGTATCTTCTCCTTTAAATAATGGTTCCTACCTCTGTTCTAATATATTCCATCTATGGACTTCAGAGTGTCTTAGAAATATTAATTGAGCATAGCAACCACTGTTGAAATGCTGTCACCTCTGGGGTGAACCACAAGAGCTGCTGAACGCTGCCTTTGGTGCAGGACAAGAAGTGCACATGGAGTATTATGCATATGGAGTATTATGCATAGTTAAACCACAAGGTGGAGTTTGTGTTCTCTCTTGAACTGGAGTTAGAGTAAGCAACTGCAGCTTATGTTTATGCCTTGGGGCAAGTGTCATGAGATCATAAGTGACCACAAGTGCTTGCTACATGTGGATGAAATGCATGGAGAGCGATAGCACTAGAAGGGAATCAGGCCCGGAAAGAAGTTAAGAGTCAGAAGCTGGAGTAACTCACTGGCTTCAGTTAGGTTGCTGTGGATTGACATCCATGTGAAAGCCCCTCACACTGTGCGCTAAACTGTGGTGATTCCCATCTCTCTGTACCAGGGGAGCAGGGTCAGAGAAGAATGTCCAACAAGTAGCTTAACCAAAGATCTGCAGTGTAGGGAGCAAAGAGCCTGGAACGCGACTCGCCTGCACGGCCAGAGAACCCCAGGAAGAGGTGAAGGAAATGCAGGTCTGAAAACTGCACCTGTGCTGCAGCTCTTGATCACCAGGGGGAGATGTTGCCATTAGTAATGAGCCTACTGACAGGGCTTGTTTGTCAGCTGGAGCTTGGTGAGGGAAATCTAGTCTCTCCACCTCTCTGCAATATCTCATGCATTGGGTCCAGTGTGCTTTTACTTTGGCACAACTAGGCCTTGGGGGGTGGCCTCTTTGCATGCCAGCAGCCATATCATTTTGCAGAGCGGAGTTGCCTTTGTATTTAATCTCTCGGTCACCTCCATTTCTCCTGTTTGAAGGGAGATAAAAACCTCTCAGCAGCCAGCCTAGATATTAAATGTGTTTTGAGTGGTGCACTCATTCTCCTGCCTTCACTGTTACCCAAGGAATAGCTTTACCTGTGGAGGGTGGCTCAGGGTTGGCAGTTAGCATCTTGAGAGGGTGATTAGAGGCAAGACAGTGACCCTCAGACATGGGAGTGTGTGTTTCTTTCTCCTTCCTGCTGGGCACATAAATAGTCTTCCACTTCCCCCATACTGTAAATAAGAAGGGAGCAGTTCCCTGTTGGGTCCTAACACCCCAGTCTCTTGGTGCTAGGTTCCTCAAAATATTCTATTGTGTAGGCCCCGCATTTGCAACTGCCAGCTCATATAGGGTGATCCACAGAGATCAACCAACATCTTAACACGATAGATTTGAGCAGGGGTGGAGAGTGGGTGAAATGTTATGACCATAGGCATTTATCATCCTATCCCAGCAAAATGGAGTTGTAAGGCACCTGGTTTGAGCATTGCCACCCACAGCAGTCCAATTGTGGTGTCCGTTATGGCACCTGGGGAGAGCTGATCTCTGTGGTGGGAAGCACCAACATTGTGTATGTATCTCCCATTCTTTAATCCTAGGTCATGAAGCTGCGTTTGCTGCTTTCCTCTGCTGTCTCTGCAAAATTGGGGTTCTCAGGGTGGATGACCAGCTGGCCATTGTATTTAAAGTGTTCAACAGGTGAGACGATGCAAATATAAAGATTGGGGTGGATTTGTGGACCCCTACATTGGGTCCCTCTTCCACCTGTCTGTCCTGTGTATGTTATGATGTGTAAGTATAAGTCATCTGACCCACCTGACTCATTTCATTATGGTCATAATGGGTTCTGCCTTCTCCATCATTTTCATTTGGCCTGATGCTTCAACTCCAGGAAGAAAGAGATCACTTGATTTGGGTGCATATGTATTTTCAGGGGACAAAGCACTGCAAACTAAAGGGCCCTGTACCCTACCAGAGAAGAGCAGAACAAGAACCAATGGCTGGAGGTGAAAGCTAGGCAACTAGAAACAAGATGTGTATTTTGAATGGCAAGAGTCATTGGAAGGACCTACCAAGAGGAGCACTGTATTCTCCATCTGCTCAGCTCAAAACTGGACACCTTTTTGATGATGCTTTAGCTATTGGGCTAAATTGTGAGGGGTGAAATCCTGTGACCTGTGACAGACAGATAAGCTAAATGATCCAGTGTCTCTTAGCCTTGGAATCTGTGAAATTTCCAGCCTCCCATAGCTGCTCTTTTCAGTGCCCAAAGTACAGGATATGGTGTCTATAGTTGTAAAAACTAAAGACTCTACACACAGACTCCTGCACTGACTTTACTTCAAGGTGAGAATGGAGAGGACATGCAATGCTCTGACTTACACAACTGTAAGTCACCTCAGTCTTGGGTAGATTTACTCCTTGGAAAGTGAGGAATGACTTCACACCCTCTCCTTGCCAGTTGCATCCCAGAGCAGTCCTTTGCTCAGTGCAAGCCAGCTCCCCATCACCTAGTGATCAGGCACTGTAATAACACCTGGTGCAGGCAAATAGCTGGGAGAGCTAATGGGTGTCTGCTCCTTGCTACAGGGTTAATCTACTACACAGTCAAATCTGGAGTAAAAGGCTCTGTAATAATTGTGTGTCCAGAGTTTCCTCTTCTGTGAAGCTAGGATGATAAAAAATATTCTTGCAAAGACTTAATCGGCTTAATTCTGGAGTGCGTGTAATACCTTTGTAAAGGGTTCTAGAGAAGGGTACACCAGCATTATGATCAAGCAACATATACAAAGTTTTGCAGCAGAGTGAAATCTCCAGGTATCCTTCAAGAATTGTTGCTCACTTTCCTGTTAAATTCATTGAAAACCCTTACGCCGTCATCTGCTACTAAATCTATAAGGCCTGAGCCTCTATGGCCTGGGCAGCACATATGCCCAGTGGGCTGCAGTTTACCCAGAGCCCTGCACATAAGTATTAAACCTGGAGAGCCCTGGTCTAGGCTTGTAAGGGACACTTCTAAAAACTGACCTTGTCTCATCTCCTCATGGAGAGAAGATAGTGTGATGTGCATGAACAGATAAATAATGCAGTGGCTCCTGGTTATTGGCCGTTGGTATTGGCATTGCCTACAGCAAAAGATCTGGGGACTCTGCTGAATTTCATGTTGTCCAGAGGAGATCATGGGAAAAGGGACAAGTCTCTTCTGTTTTCCACTGCTTAACTTCTTATTTAGAACCAAAATAGGCTCTGGGTCCCTCTTCTTTAGGTGAAATGGGTAACATGAATAGGGCAGGTTTATTTACACTACCATATGCTGTCCACTGACTGACAAAGGAATAGAAACCTGGTATCAGAAAGCCAATATCAGACCTCCATCAGCTGTAAGCTTATCCCTGATGTGAGCTAGACTGTGAGTCAAATCTTCTTCCTTTCACACCCTGGGGTCATTTGTTTCTCCTCCTGCTCAGATGTTAGATGGTTGTACGGTAGGCTATTAGATTGGATTGGGCTCTTATGCTAGGTGCAGAAAGAATGTGCTTGGGACCTTCGCAGCTGGCCTCATAGGGCCTTGTAATTAAAATCCCTCAGTTGTTTCAGCAGTGGGAAGCATGTCTGGTGTTAACTCTTCCCTTTCTCCTTTTGCCTCAGATATCTGGAGGTGATGCGGAAACTTCAGAAGACCTACAGGATGGAACCAGCTGGTAGCCAGGGAGTGTGGGGCCTGGATGACTTCCAGTTCCTCCCCTTCATCTGGGGGAGTTCCCAACTGATAGGTACTAATGAACCATCGGCTATGCTCTGGTCTCTCACCCACTGTCCACTTCAGTGTGAAGATAATCAGAGGATGGAGATGCTTTTAAAAGATCATTAGAACGGTGTTTAAAAAAATGGCGCCTCTGATTGAAAACTGTGCTTGGAGTTCTGAACTTATGTTCCAGGCCTTCAGAGTGAAGCCTGCTGCCACTTGCTCAGAGTGTGAGAATGGAGGGTTAGTGTCGGTGTTCATACATCCCAAAGTAGACCTATTTTTAATTGAGAACCATGCAAATCATCTGTGCTAGAAAAGATGACTATCCTGAGCAGCTTTCAGCATGCTCTTATTGCTGAGATACTGGATCAAGGCTCAGGAGATTTGGATTTACTTTTCAGTTCTGCCACAGTTTTCCTATGTCACCATGGGCAAATTGATTTAACATCTTTAAGTCTCATTTTCCCCATCTGTAGAAGGGGCTGGTATTGCCTTTGTCCTTTCTGTTTGGATAGTGAGTAATCTGAGGCAGGGATGGTCTCTTAGTAGCCTCTGTGTATGTACAGTGCTTAGCACAATAGCTTGTCAGTGTTGCTTGAGCCCTGCAGGTACTGCTTTAAATAAAGAATAATGCCCACTCTAGTACAGTTGTAACTGGGCAGCACAGTTCTGATACACCAATGCTCTACTTTGTAACTGTGCTGGCAGAGGCCATAATACATATATGAGCCTTCTTCACATTGCATTGCTTTGTATGAATCTCATTGACCTGGGTCCTGGCACAGACGCACACACACACTACCTAGTTTTAAGGTTAAAAAATATGCCCTTTTGCAAAGATTTGTCATCCTGGTGATTAAGAACTTGCAAGGCCAGCTTCACTCTAGTGAAATATTGGAACAAATATTTGAGAAGGAAAAGTTTGTAAGTATTTAGAGACTGAAAAGGGAGACTAATAAATGTCATGGGTATGTAAGGACCAAGTAATAGCAGTCAAACTTGGATTATGGTTCTAAATTTCAAAATTGGCCAATGGAGGTAATAGAATAGTTGTAATGTAGATTGATTTTTAGTAAAGTCTGCTTTAGGAAATGGTAGAACTCGGGTTGACTTGGCTCAAACCCATTCATCATATTGAAAAATGATTAAATAGTTACCTGCAGAAGCTGGGAGGAGGAGGTGTTTCGGAGGAGAGCCACCAAGCTGATTAACAGGCCTGGTCATCTGATGTTGGTTGACATCTGCAGGACAGATCCTGTATATATGTATGTGTGTATGTGTGTGTGTGGTTTTTTTTTTTCTTCCCCTCCAGACCATCCCAACTTGGAACCTCGGCACTTTGTTGATGAGAGAGTGGTGAATGAAAACCATAAGGACTACATGTTCCTGGAGTGCATCCTGTTCATTACAGAGGTGAGGCTGGGAGAATTGTTTCACAGTGAAACTATTCATCTTTCTTGTGTTCTCCTGGTATAGGTCTGTTAAGTACCATGTCGTTTGTGTGCTGGTTCATCTGTATGTGCCTACGTGGATGAGCTTTTGTACGAGCCTCAATTCTTGAATGAATTACTGAGGGTGAATGAGGTGAAGCTCCATGGGTACCATAGTGGAGTTTCTTTGATCAGGAATGTGGTTGTAAAAATAAAGCAGATAAACCACGTGGGATGCTTTCTGGACATGGCTGTGGGGAGAGGGCTTAAATTCAGAAAACATGTACTTGTAGGTGCCCTAGAGCAGTAGAGGAGGAGCTTCAAAATGGTGCATCCCAGCCACTGTTAACTCTGCCTACCTGGTGTTCCTGGTATGCCAAGCTACCCCTCACTCAATCAGCGCTGGCCCTCTTAGCAGGGCCTAGTGCCTCCCGTTCAGCTGTGCCTGATTTCCCACTGGGGGACCTACTTTACTTGAGATTCTAGCCTGACCATCAGCTTTCTGTGGTAAGTTGCTAGTAATAGATGGTGTTGAGTAAGTGGCTGATAGTTAAAGCTATGGTTCTGGAAGTGCTAATGTGGACTATGGGATCTGCTGAAGGAGGATAACTCCAGCAAACTCCCTCTGTATGGTGGTATGCCATGGATTTCCAACAGACGGCAGTGTTTGTAAACTATGGCATTTACTGCCTCCTGTCTGAAGCCACTGGGTGTCAGCAAGTTTTTTGATCTGGTTAGATATTTATGCTGTGCTCATTGCCTTAAGACCCAAGAGAAGGGATCATGGACTACACACTCTACTCTTAGGGATCACTGTTCCAGTTCCTCTCCAGAAACATATGTTAATGCAATAATTTTGATGCAGATAGTACTACTGTTTTTATAACCCTGCCATTCCAGTCATGTCTGCATCCTTTTTCCACCCCTCCAATTTTGCATTGAAACCTGCAGGGTCACATTATATGACTTCCCATTTTAGCCACCAGCATAGTGAGTTTTTACAGGGGACACCTGTTGGACTACTGTCTGAGGGTGCAGAATCTCAGGAACTTGTATGGAGTCTAATAGACGTTGCTGGTGATTAGCACCTTGTGGGACTTAAGTTTTTATTTACTGAGTTAAATAACCTCATAGAAGATAAAGATTATGCAGCCCCTGCAAAGTTGTAATACGG